TGCCCTGCCCTCCTCACCACTGGGGGCTGCGATTGGTTTGGGCAAGGATCAGTCACCTCAGCTTGGACTGTGCCAACACATGCCCAGACCCTGCCACCCTCAGTCCAAGATTGATTTTTTTTTTGTACCAGGGATTGAACCCAAGGGCACTTAACCACTGAGCCACGTCCCACATTTTTTTTCAGGGTATTTATTTTTCAGTTGTAATTGGACACAATATGTTTGTTTTATTTATCTATTGCTCCGTGGTTCTGAGGATCAAACCCAGGGCCCCGCAAGTGCTAGCCAGGCCCTGTACTGCTCAGCCCCAGGCATAGCCCACATTTCATCTTCTTAAATATTGAGACAGGGTCTCACTGAGTTGCTTAGGGCCTTGCTAAGCTGCTGAGGCTGGCTTTGAACTCAGGATCCTCCTGCCTCGGCCTCCTGAGCCGCTGGGATTAGAGGTGTGTGCCCTGCCGGCTTCTGTTTGTGTTTCTCTGACACTCCTCCCGGAGCTCCTCTTCCTCTCCTCCTCTCCCCTCCTGTCCTGACACGTGCTGCCCCGTTCCCATCTCTCTCTCTTGCTCATTTGGCAGCTGAGGAGTAGCCACACCAAGGAACCTGGGTGACTTCCAGACAGAGCCACAGGGCGCTCTCCCAGCTACTGCCCTGAACAGCGCGGTGCCTGCTCACCAATGGCTACTTCACTCTGGGGATGGGTTTCTGGAAAGAGCGCTGCCAGGCCAGGGTCCCTCCTCTGTGACTGCCAGGTGTGGCCAGGTCCAGCCTTGTCAGAGGCACGAGGAGGCTGGGTCCTGGGACTTGGCATGACCGTTGGTTCTGTCCACCCAGGCTGAGCTCTCCTTGGTCATCCCCATGTGCCCTGGCACAGGACAAGTCCTGCAGTCCCTGGTGGGACCCCATGGTCCTGGCTCCCAGGCAGCCGAGACCCTGTGTGCAGCTCAGCTGCCTTTGGCATTGAGAACAGCCACTGTCACGGGAGCTCCTCAGGTCCCCACCAGCTAGCCTTCTTTTACTTTCTTACATTTGATGGATGGATGGATGGATTGATTTTTGGTAGGAGGACGGAACCCAGGGGTGTTCGACCACTGAGCCACATCCCCATCCCTTTTTATGTTTCATTTTGAGACGGGGTCTCACTAAGTGGCTTAAGGCCTTGCTAAGTTTCTGAGGCTGGTCTTGAACCTGAGACCCTCCTGCCTCAGCCTCCCAAGTGGCTGCAATTGCAGCCTGCCCCACCATACCCAGTTCTGCTCTGCTCTCGTTTTAAGATGACCGTCCACTGAGGGCATCCAGGTGGTGTGGCTGTCTCTCAAGGGCCCTGTGGGGTTGCTCTTATTTTACAGCAGAGGAGGTGAGGGCTGGAGGTGCAGACAAGTGTCACCCAAGTCCCCAGAGCTGGACAGCACAAGAGTCAGGTGGCCTGGTGAGGTGAACCCCACGTGCACACGTGTTCCCATGCCTAAAGAAGTTTCTAAACCAGAGGACGGGGACGTCCTGGTCACGGGTCCCTCGGAGAAGAGCTAGGTGTGGGAGGACTCCCGCCCCCGGCTCCCGGTCAGTCCCCTGGCCTCAGGAGTCCTCCCAGCCTGGGAGGCAGGGGAGACTGAGCCTGTGGGTGGCCCCCGCCCCTTCCACAGGAAGCTGGGCCAAGGCAGTCTCTGGCCTCATGAAGACATCACAATAGTGGTCAGTCACCCAGCCAGGCAGCTGGGACGGCCGTTGCTTCTCTCCTCCTTGTCTCTGGCCACCAAGCCTCACCATGAGCACTGCTCAGGATGAGGACCAGGAGAATGAGGACACGGAGCCCCAGGTCACCAGGACACCACTGCTGAAACAGAGGAACAAGAAGGAGCCAAAATGGAGCCAACCTCAGGGTGAGGGGCGGGGGCTGAGAGTGGCCAGGGACAGGGGGATGCTGGGGCCCACAGGGAAGCAGGAGGCGGGATGGGGCCACCTGGCCCAGCCAGGGCGGATCCCCGGGCTCACCACCTCCCCCAAGTTGCACCGCCCCACCACCCAGGTGACCCCACAGGGACACGGGCAGCAAGGCCTCTGGCAGCACACACTCTCTTTGAGCCCACAAGGACAGGTGGCTGCGGACATCACATGGGGCCAGGTCACTGCCCGGCCTGGGGGACATGGCCCTGGAGAGTCCCCAGTCACCTCTCACTGTTGATGCCTGGTGGCGCCAGCAGGGGTCTGCAGGACCACAGGGCACTGATGGGCAATGCTGCTCACAGCTGGGAGTGACTCCTAGGGGGGAGGCCAGGGGGCTTCATTTCTGACCCTCCTTTGTCTGTGAGAGGGAGGAAAACCTGCCCGGCAGGGATGCAGGGACCTCTCCCTGTCCTGGGGAGTGGAGCCAGTGGGGAGGACAGGGAGGGGCTTGCGTCTGCCCCCACCCCAGCAAGCTCGGGTGGGAGGCCCAGGAGCCCCCTCCAGCCTCCAGCCTCCAACCTCCAGCCTCCAGCTTCCATTCCTGGGAGGGGCGGGAAGAGCCGGTGGTGGAGAGAAACCCTGGGTCCCTGTGCAGGACAAGCCACGGGGCTGTCCCTGGAGACACGGGGACCCTCTGCCCACACACGCCCAGGAGGCTCCCTCTCCTGCCCACCTCTCGGGTCCCAGGCTCCGGACTCCCTTGTCGGAGCTGCTTCCTGAGCCTGTGGGGCAAGGTGGCAGCTGGGAGGAGGGGCTGGGGCCCGATGAGCAGGTGGGGTGCCCAGACACTGCGGGAGGACCTGGGGCTCAGGGAGCAAGTCTGGGAGAGTGGAGGGCAGGACCCATAAAGGCCTCCTCCCAAGGAATTGGGCGCAGCCCATTGGGGAGCCATTCTGACAGAGGCAAGGGGCAGAATGGCAGCGTGGACTCCGGAGTCGGGCCTTTCGGCTCCGTCCTTGGCTGTCACACTTATTTACTGGGACCTCAGGAAAGTCTCCTGCTCTCTGAGTCTAGTCTCACACCTGCTGCCTGGAATCGGGGAGCCCCGTGCTGCACGGGCAGGAGGACTGAGGGAAGTGTGTTAAGCACCCAGCTCAGAGCGCGGCTGGCGATGGACGGCCCGAGCGCCTGTGTCCTGGGCCACCTGGTGCTGCTCCCAGGAAGAGCTTGTATCCCAGGACACGAGGGCACAGTGCAGTCAGACGTGCCCAGGTTCAAATCCAGCTCCTGCACCTACGGCCACGCAGCCGTCCAAGCTGACGCATCCTTCCAGGCCCCATCTGCTCTCTGGAGTGGGCACCTGCCCGTGGGCACTCAGTCCTGGCAGCTGAGGGTGCTCTTCCCTCCTCTCTCCTCAAGGGCCACCGCCTCCTTACAACCCTCCTGCAGGAGGCTCCCGCCCTCAGCAGCCCACAGGTGAGTGCAAAGTGCCCCACACCTCTCTCCTCGCACACACTTCCTGCTCAGACTGCCACAGGCCCCTGGCCTGACCATGGGCCCAAACTGCCTGCTGGAAAGCCCTCCTCCCAGCCCCATGGCTCCGTGGCCCTGCATCTGGTTAGGGCCTCTCCGTGGCTCCCACAGGCTGTCCCAATGTCAGTGGCCTTGAGCATCACTCTGACCAATGTGTGGTCATTAGTAGACACCCTGGCGGACAGTAGGTGCTCAGGAGATGCTTGTAAACTCCCTGCAAGCACATCACCTCCACCTGGATCACAGAGATGGAGAACACAGACCCCCAGGAGGGGCCTAGGTCTGGGGATTCTCCATATTTTCCAAGGAATTCTCAAGCACTCCAAAGAGCGGTCAGGTAGGACTGAGGGTCCGCTTCACAGTGCTGCAACTAATGCACAGAGAAAGGTTTGTTCTGGCTCCCAGTCCTGGGGTTCCAGCCCATAGCTGGCCAGTCCCACTGCTCTGGGCCTCTGCAGAAACCAGATGCCCATGACAGGGAGGCAATGTCAGAGCAAACGATTCCATCACGATCTGGGCAGCAGAGAAAGACCAGGGTCCCACAGTGTCCTCAGATCCCAGTGACCTAAGGACCGCCCCTAAGTCAAGGGCCACACACCTCCCAATAGCGCCACCCTGGGGACCAAGCCTTGAACACATGGACCTTTGAGAGACACTCACGCAGACCATAGTGGACAGTAAATTCCCACAGGTAGCCTCAGGGTGACACAGTGACAATGACCTCTCCCTTGGAGAGCGCAGACAACCCTCAGGTCCCCCATCCGAGCTTCCTGCCAAGTGCGGGGCATGTCACCCTCCCCTGCCTCCGAGCTCACCCTGGCGCAGCCCCACCCCTCTCCAGGCAGGGGGTGCAGACAGACCTGGCTCTGCTCCAGGACACTGTGGAGCGCCACCAGCGTTCTTGTTCTTGCTTTGGGGCTTATTGTGGGGCGCTGGGGTTCCCCCAGGGTCCCACGCATGCTGGGCGAACGCTCCCCTCTGAGCTGCGCCCGGAGCCTCAGCAGCACGCTCTTGACAAACCCAGCCACCAAAGGACAGAGGGAGGGCCGCCGTCCCAGGTCGCCAGGCACACCTGTGCGCCAACGTCCAGGTGCAAGTCCAGCGGCGAGGCTGCCTGTTCTTTCCACCACAGGCATGGGGACAGACTGGGCTAACCCCGCAGGTTGAGAAAGGGGGTTGAGCTGGGCAACTGGCTGGACAGAAGGGACCTGGGTTAGACCCAGAGGTCCTCCAAACCCGCTGGGTCCTGACTTTGCCCGCCAGCCAGAGCGTCATGACTGGGGGGGGAAGGAGTCCTGAAGCTGATGGGCAGGTGGATAATGGGTGGCACGACCCTAGCCAGGTGGTCTTGGGTGCTTAGATGACCACCAGGAACAACCAAAAGACAAGAAGTCACAGCGGGGGTGGTGTGTCCAGCTGGGTTGGGCCCAAGGGTGGGGGTGAGGTGGTTCGGGTCTGACCTGCCTCTTACCCCTCCCTCCAGGAATATACACCAACCTGCCCAGGATCTCGACCTCCTTGCCAATGCGCACCACATGTCCGTACTGTGGCAACCAAATCGTCACGGAGATTACCCCTGTCAATGGAGTCCTCAACTGGCTAATGTGCTTAGGCCTCTGTTTGTGTGGGTGAGTGGCTGGCCCTGGACTCCAAAAGGCCCTGCCCCCGCTTGCATGGGGGGTTCCTCCTGGGAGAAAGGGCTGGCATCTAGCAGCCAGGTGGGCAGCAGGGGAGTTTGTGGAGGACAGGCAGGACCAAGGACAAGGAGTCCTGATGTCCTTCACTGACCACACTCAGTGGGAGTCACGCCTGCCATAAGAGGGTCCCCAGCAGTGCCTGTCACCACCATGGGGAATCCCTGGCCTATGGAGTCGCCCAGCAGCTTATAGGAGGGTGGCCGTCCGAGGGCAGTGAGGGCCAGGGCCAGGTGGTGCACTTATGGCCCATGCCCTATGGCTGCAGGTGCTGCCTGGGCTGCTGCCTCATGCCCTTCTGGATGCCCAGCCTGAAGGATGTGACCCACTCGTGCCCCGTGTGCAAGCACCATCTCTACCACTACAGACGCGTGTGACCCCTGCCCTGGAAATAAACCTGCTGCCGCTCCTGCACGTGTGTCCTGCGCCGGCCATGCCATGGCCTCCTCTGACTCCAGTCACCAGGGAGGTGGGGTGTGGCCCACAGGAGCCTGGAGCACAGCAGACGCGCAGGCCACGCTGGCTGGATACGGGAAGGGTCCTGTCCCTGAGGTGCCCAGCGCAGACCTCAGCCTGCTGTCCACCAGGAGGCCCGTCTTTTGCCCTCGCCCACCCGCACCCAGGCTCTCAGCTGGCCCTGCAGGTGGACTAGCACTTGGTACCGAGTGCAACCCCAGTGGGCATCTCCCTGAGCCGCCCTCCCCTGGCCGACGCTGTCCAACTGGGGTCCCACCTGGGCCTCCTCTCCCACCCACTCCTGCAGCCTGCAGCCTCTCTCCTGTGCCTCAGAGAGCTCCCTCTCCTTCCTGGGGGCAGGGTGGCTGCAGCGGGCACCACCTCTTCTTACCCCAGACCCCTGCCCTGTCCCTGCTGCCCTGCAGGGACCTGCAATGGCCCTGCTCAAGTCTGCCCTGCCCTCCTCACCACTGGGGGCTGC